ACCACAACGCCGAATCCTGATGCACCTTCAACTGCTCCTCTGCCGACAGACCGTCGAGTCCGAACCTCCCCCGGCCTACCCTGCTCCGGAGTGGCTCCGGTCCAGGCCTCTGGCATCTGCACACAGACACTGTTCGACACGGCGGTCCTCCTCCTATCCCAGAGATCTTGCCCATGCTGCACAGCTGGAACAAGTAAGCCTTCACCGCCGGGTTGAGGATATCCTGGCCCCGCTGCAGGTCCAAACATAGGACCACCTCCGCTGAGTCCTGCCAGAAGCTCTGATCCTTGCCTGAAAAGAGGTGCAGCACGACATTCTTCGCTGCCTCCACCTTCCTCCTCATTCTTCTATTCCACGGCAGCACCTTGTGGAAGTCCTGCTTGAAAGGCCCCGCTGGATCCATCATCTCCAGCACGCTCCCCAACACTTCCCAAACCGCCTCCGGCACCTCTGTCCACCTGGCCTTCCACTTGGCCATCACTGTCTCCTCCACCTGGGACAACTTGCATATCCTCCTCCGGTTCAGGTTAAAGTTCTCCAGGTCCTCGATCAGCTGCAAAGCCTCTCCTCCTTTGACCATGGGACAACCTTTCTTCATCTCCACCTTGATGTCGCCCTTTGCCGGATGCTTGACGATGCAGCCCTTGTTGTTCCACGTGATGCCGTATCCCATCTCAACCAGCCCTGCCAGCGGCACAATCGGCCCGACCTTCTCTGGCAATGTCCGGGTGTCCTTCTGCTGCCACAACTGAGCCGTCCCTGCCGCCAACTCGACTGTGACCTCCTTTACGCGGTCACCCTGGAGTTCTCCTTCCTTGGCTTGGCGAAGGGCGTGGGTAGCCCCTCCATCCAGCAACCCGAAGAACTCCTCCTCAGCCTTTACCGCCCTGACCCGGATCGCCTTCACCGTCTCCAACGACTTCAGCAACCCCGTCGCCTCGCACAACAGCTCCTGGACATGCTGTCCCCGCTGCCCAGGTGTCTCCGCCCCTGGCTGCTCCTCCACAACCCCCTTCTCCGCCGCAACCTTTGGCTTTTGCTGCTGCGACTGTTGCTGCTGCTGCGGCTGCGACTCTCCACCTTGTTTGGTTCCCGCCCTGCCGGCCGCCTCATGCTTGACCGGACACTCCCCTTTCGGTGCTGTAGCGAACCGCAAATCCAGCACCGATCCGCCTTCCGGTCAATCGCCGACCAGTCATGACTATAGTTGCAGTTCTTTCCCATCTTGCAACCTCTCCCACCCGCAAAGAACCCGCAGACCGTCCTTCCGCGGGGTTTGCGCCTCTGCTTGTCTCATGCTCTTCACCTTTGGGCCCTTCTCCTCTGGCTTAGAGGCGACGATCACCTCCACTTCTGCCTGAATAAACTCCGCCAACTGCACAATACTTTCCTGCGTCGGGGAGACATCCACCCCAAGGCTATTCCTCAACAAGCTCAGCCGAAAGTGTACCTGGCTCCCTTCCTTCGCAATGCCGTTGGTCATGCCATCCAGCGCCCTCAACAGCAGCGACGGGTCCGGCATTGCCAGCTTCAGCTCCGTGGTTCTAATGTACCACCTCCTTCACTGTCTAACCGCTGCCAGCACCTCTCCCGGGACCGTGTTGCCATTCACCTTCGGCTCCACCAGGTAGTTGAGCAAGCTCTGCCTCTCCGCTGGCCCCCCAGGCTGATACACCGTCAAGACCTTGAAGACCATACCCGCTGCTGACATCGTCCGCCTCGAAACCACCTCCTGCCTCAAACTCTGAGGCAACGCCCGAAGCAAAAGCCCGGCCCCTCTCTGCTCCACCCTGGAGAAAGGGTACTTTCCCAGCCATCCCGGCTCTTCCGGTACCACATTCAACCTCTCCACCGGCCGCATATCCAGCCACCTCTGATAAGCCTTCTCCGCGTGGCGCATGATGTGTTCCCACCACACTGCCGCGCTCGCTCTAAGGTCCATCATGATCGGTCGGATCTCCGCTAACCAGTCCCCCGCCACCAGTGGCCCCGCTTCCTTGGCCCCTAGCTCCGGCAACTTCGGCAGTTCCGCAGCCCTTATCGCTTCTTCCCTAAGCTGTCCTGCTGCCAACATCGCCTTCACATCTTCCGGCCAAGAGTCCATCACCCCCTTGGTCTCCGCAACGTTCTCGTGCACCTGCTCCGGGGCGACGATGGCCTTGACATCCAAACCCGGGGGCGGCACTGGAACCTGCCGCTCGAGTTCCTCTGATCTTTCCCACGTCAACGCCCACTCATCTCTGGATCTCATAGCCGGCACCATCTTCAAGCCACCCGTCTCGAAGTCCCCGGCGTCCTTGGCCTCGGTGGATACGGGGGTGGGTGTGGTGACCTCGTTCGATCCCGGCGTCCACCATCTCCGTGTCTCTCTCCTGTCTCCATCGGCGTGTGAAACTCATTCGCGTTCCACTCGCCTTCCTGTCTCCTCCGCTGAGAGCCGTCCCATTCCCAGCGGTTCCACCAACAAGCTGACACCTCATCCTGCGCTTCTCGAAGCTGGCCTTCCGCCTCTCGGACCTGCCCCAGGAACTGGCGGTTTCGCATCTCCAGGAGCCGGCCTTCTCGGCGATGGTCCCCTTAAGGTGGTCCCTTTCCATCTCCATCCCGCGGATCATGCGGCAAGCCAACAGCAATTGCTTTTCCATGGCCTCCTGCACGTCGAACATTTCCTCCTCTCCTCCTCCTTCCCCTGGAATGAGTTCTTCATCATCTTCATACTTCAGGCCTTCTGGCAGGTTGCCCTCCGGAACCCACACCTTCGTTGCTGGGTTCCACACCATGTGGAGCTCCATAGGTCTGAAACCTGCCCTCGCCGATGCCCTCGCTTCCTTGCCCGTCGTGTTCACCTCCGAGGATCCAGCACCTCCACGTCCTCCGACGATGCCCACTTCCCTCTCGGCCCCCTTCTCCGCGATCTCGAGAAACCCGCTTTCCACTTCGGGCTCCACCACCTCCATAGATCGGGTGCCTTCCTCGCGGAACCTCACCTTCTTTTCCTTCTTTTCCTGGAGCTCCTGCCCGATCACGATGGTCCTGGCCTCCCTTCCACCCGTCATGAGCTTCTGAAAGATGCCCTCGTCCTTGATCATCTGGGTGCCCTTCATGAGCTTCCGAAGGATGTCCTCGACCTCGGTCTCCATGAGCTCCCGAAGGATGCCCTCGACCTCGATCATCACGCCACCCTCCATGAGCTTCTGAAGGATGCCCTCGATCTCGGTCTTCATGCCACCCTCCATGAGCTTCCGAAGGATGCCCTTGACCTCGATCCTCATGCCACCCTCCATGGGCTTCTGAAGGATGCCCTCGTCCTCGACCCTCATACCACCCTCCATGGGCTTCTGAAGGATGCCCTCGTCCTTGATGAGCTCCCGGATGATCTCCTTCGCAAGCTTCTGGCGGCCAGCCTCCAAGCGGAGCCCGACGACCATCCCTGCTGCTCCCTTCTCCACGGGTTCCCTCCAGGCCGACATCCGCTTCCTTCTCAAGGTCCTCTTGCAGGCTCCTTTTCACTTTTCCCAATACTCCAACCTTCTCGGGATTCTCCTCCGACCCTTCGGGCACCCTCGGGAGATCCCTGTGAAGCTCCGCCTCCGCCCTCGCCTTCTCGCTCCAAAACGGGTTCACCTCCACCGGCCTACCCGTTTCCCTCCCCCGGTCCTTGCCGTCGGTCACCCCGTCCGCGGCCTTGCCGGTTGTGGTGACCTCCCCCTCCGGCTCAGCCACCAGGATGCCCATGCCGGCGACGTCCACCGATCTCGCCCTCCTTCTCCGCATGCCTGGGTCCATGGCTGGCCTTTGTCAGGGGGCGTTTGGGCTCATAACCTATGTGCGCTGCACCGCGCTGTTTGTTCCTTGAGCCAACGGTTTCGAGTACACCCGTGTTATTAACGGTTCACAGTTTTATTGAAGAGGCGCAGGTCCACGGAGGGGGTAATATTTATGCTCCTTTCAGCCCCTACCCCCCATAGAACTAGTTTTCCACATTTTGCTTGTCTGTTACCTCCATTTTGGAAGTATGATGTCCTGTCGAAATACGACTCCTTTAATTTGATTTTGTTTAGGTAGAATTTAGAATGTAGACGACGAGCCCTTGAAGTTTCCATTGTGGAACACCTGAGGTCTACAATTTTCAGATCTCAATCCTTGAAATGTCACTTTCGGACCCCCAATGCATCACAATTTAGCAGTCCTCCACAATGTCTAAACGAATCCTGGCCAAATGGAATGTTAGCAAATTTAGCTGGATGTAAATCTATTCTGTAAGAACAAGCATAAGCTTATGTAGAATGAACATTTTCATCGGAATTCCTTATCAAATGAGACTTAAGCTTAAGTTCAACCAGAATGTAATTCAATAAGCCTTTAAAGCCAGAATCCAAGTAGGATGTTCTTCCCAAATACGATTGGGGTTAAAGTTGATGGCACGTTCAATCGAACTTCATAAAGCAAACCAAAGCAAACGTACACATTGCATTTTAGATCAGAAACTGAATAGGGATTGATTTCCCACCATGGTTTTAATTGAAGTAGGAGTTTCTTCGCAAATATGATGTAAACTGAATTTGGTTAAACGTTTAACGGAAGAATCCATGGAAAACCAGTACATAGTGTCTATGTTGAAATAGAATTATCTTACAAGGAAAGAATCCAACCAGATTGTGAATTTGGAAATCGATTCCTTTTGTAGCAGACACATGCGTATCTTTATTTGTCCTTAAATACAAATCAATCTAAATGCTGGCTGGGACACGCTTTTGACATTGCAGCACGTTAAAAGCGAAGATATCTGTCAAAGATTGTTTAGCAGAGCTGTGTCAGCAAAAAGCTCAAACACACTAGTATTTACAGTGTTCTTAGGGTTCAGGCACCACACAAGTGTGTGAATGACAGTTGCAGAAGAATGGGCCCTGAAAGCACATATGTGTCTACACATATCTATGTAGATAGATGTTACACGTACATCAGGGCATTCAATGATCACGTGTGTCTCGGTTGGGCAGGTGCCTGTTGGATTCTTACCTCCAGAAGGTTCGGGACCGGTGTGGCCTGGACCTGTCCTATGGGGCTGCCAACATAAAGCACTACCGCCAGGCACCGCTGCTTCAAGGTCGGTTTGTCTTTGGAGTCGGTGCCCCCTCAGAGTGTGCCCAACAGAAATTCGCACGAACCCACAGTCAAACTAGGCCAATGCGCAGGTTTATGCACCTGTCACGTCTGGGTGCCACATAGCTTCACTACTTGTTCATAGTGGCTGAGTCATTTTGAACAACCACCACGCGGACTCCCATGAAAAGAAGGCATGTCCCATACAAGTTGGGAGCAAGCGATAGGCCCGCACGACATTTGTGCACTGTCAGGAACCAAGTTCACTTGGCCTTGGTGTCATTCCTATTCACTTCTCTCTGCTTTTCTGAGCCAAAGCTCCCCTCCTCATCACTCCTTCAAAATGCAATCAGTGAGTTTTATGAGTGCCGCATGGAGTTTCTCGTTGAACCCCTCCCTTTCAAAAGAACCAACGGGTAACTGGAGCGAACTCGCCCAGCTTCCGTGTAATTGGTGGTTGGTGGTTTCGAGGTTCGGGGCGTGTTGCCCCGGGGTTCCAACCTCCAAACCACCAATCCAAACCACGAATTATGACGGATTACCTGAAAAGGACAACTCTGCGTTGAGGGAGGTCGTCCCAGACCTTTCAGGGCTCTCAGGACCAGTGGCTGCCCGTCCATATCGACTACAATCGAGCGACTCTGATGACGCAGCATGGCGAGTGATGGGCCGTTGCTTGTGTTTGCACCGCCGGCTTCGGGCGGACCACTTCTCTTGGACAGCCAGTGGCAATTTAGAAAAGGCTAAAGCTGATACAGAAAGAGCAGACTCTGCCAGGTCCCTTGGATTGGCTCCCGTGAACAGCTTCCGGCACAGCATGGCCGATGCAGGGGTTGTTTTGCCCAAGGCCGACTTTTCCCGTCACAGGCTCCAAAACGATGCGCTCAAGCGTGCGGGGTGTGGACTTGCAAATAAAAGGTTGGAAGCCCCTTTGGCCGTCCAATTCAGCCCGCGCATGCAGGACTCCCGGTAGGCGCAACTTAGGTATCTCAACGAGGTGGGCGACGGAGGCCACACGCTCTTCCCCACCCTGGGCATCAAAGTGACGCTTGGCCGAACAGTGGCCGGGGTTCGCACCAGATTCAAACTGCTCAGCGCCAGAGCAATAGAAGAAACTTCTGTAGTACTGGCATTAAAGTCTAACTGTCTTTCAAAAGTAAATGAGGGCGGAACGGGAAGGGAAGAGAAAAGAAGAGAAGACAAGACAGACAAGAGAAGAAGTGACAAGTGTTCAGATTGCGTGACAGATGCAAGCACTTGGGGATTGGGGATAGAAAGTGCTCAAAGTGAGCGCCCTGTGCGTGTTTCCCGTGTTCCGGGGCAGCAAGGCCTCTCTGGCGCGACGCCTGAATTGTTCGGAACGGGTGCGGAAGGAGCGCAGCGACGCACGGCATGCGGCTTTTGAAAACATGACTTCGCGCGACAGGCGCGCCACTTCGGCGGGGTCAAGTGCGGATTTGGCGGCAGGCACAGCACTCGCGGCGAGTCCAGAAGTGTTGTTTTTTTGGGTGTCGGTTCTTTAGTCTACGTGCCTGGGCGAACCGTGCCTCCGAACCATATGCTTGGCTGCAGGTAGCAAAACGAAGCATTTGTCCGCCGCGCAGCGCCTTGAAGGAAGAGTTGGGAACCCTGCAAGCTGCGTCCACGAGAGTGAGTTGTCTCGCTCTGCCCGTGAAGCCGGGGAAGCGTTGCAAAGAGCGGCCTGGACGCGAAGAAGTGGCGAGCAAGCAGCAAGCGCATTCTCAGCACCTGGAAGGAAGCCCTGGGGCCGGTCAGGAGGAACGCTGCTGAGCGAAACCCGCGCAAAAGCAAAGTGCGCACGCTGAAGTCTAACAACTCAGGCCATTGCGAGTGAAGTAAAAGTGTCGCAGCTGTCTGAGCGTCAGCCTCCTGCTGTTTGAGGCTTGCGCGCTGAACCTCCTTCGTAGACAGCAACCCACAGACAGCGAAGCGCATGCAAAGCCGTTGTGATGCAGGTTGCTTGCCGAAATGCGGAGCTTGATCTTTCGCTGGCTGGTCTGTTGCAGCTGTTTGGTGTGTCACAGCTGGCGGGAACTTCAGAGTTTAGTCTGACTAGTTCAGGCCACTCACGCAAGCGTCAGAGGCCGGCTTGTGGCAACTTTTCTTCGGAATCTGCAAGCCCTCGAACACATACCTGCGTTTTTACACCCCCATACCAGCGTCCCGGCCAGGGCGCGTCAAAAAAAAACACACCCAAGGGGCAGACGGATGGATAGCTAGACGGCTAGATAAATAGAGTGCCGATTATATAGATAGATATTTAGTGGATACTGAGAGTGGATAGATAGATAACTAGCGAGATATTGTCAAATGAGAATTGCGCAGGTAGACAGGCAGATAGATGGCTGGCTAGGTAGCCAGGTTCGTTAGATAGAAAGATAAATCTCAATGCGTGAGGTTAGGTAGATGGATAGAAAGTGAGACCAGGTAGGCTAAGCTAAATAGATAGGCGCAGAACAGATCAACACACATAAGTTGAAAAGACTGAATGGCTAGCAGACGGAGCCAGATGGATAATCAATAGATTGATGTGTAGGAACATGGATAGATAAATAAACGGTGCATGAATGGGCAAATATCTAGATTTCCGGATAGATAGTATAAATGGACAGATAGAGGATATAGATACATAGATTAACCTAGGAAAGATAGATAGAGTACATTAGACTGGGCTAGATTAGGCAAGGTTGATAAGATTAGACACACAGGCAAGATAGGTAGATAGATGGAGAGAGATAGAACAAGAGAAAGTAAAATAGAAAAAGAAAAAGAAGAGAAAGCGACAGAAATAAGGAAGAACAAGAGAAAGAGAACAGGAAGGAAAAAGAAGAGAAAGAAAGAGAGAAAGACTTCCAGCCGAAACTGCCGGCTCTACGGGTATCTCGTTTTAGGTTAGGGAACTATCATGACCTGTCCAGATGGTGTCATCTATGGGGGAAGCGTCATTGCTCTGCAGAGAGCGCAGCACTGCTGTGCAATTGCTAGTGTAAGCGTGCGTTGCTTTTCGATGCCCGTCAGAGCACCCAGCGACGGCGCAAATCTGTTTGGAGCCGGGTACATCAAACACATTTTGCGCTGCACATTTGCGCGTCGCTACTTTAACGTTGAACGATTTCTTTGAACTGCTGGGGATGCACCATCTCTTCTGCGGACTCATGTTAGCCTTTGGTGGAGGTGCGGCAGGTTAAGGCAAGTTGAGCAAGTTTTTCGGGACCGATCGCATCCACACCTCGCCAACACAAAGATGTACTTGGTAGATTGGACTAGTCATCAACTGTTTGGGACCTAAACGAGGGCTCACAAGATGTTGATGTCCCTTCAACACCGACCCCCGCAAAACAAGCCCACCCTTCCGGTTTTGATTCGATATCAGGAAGCCGGCACGGGGTAGCGCGCTGGTGTGGCCCAACCAGCCGCCGCTGAAGCACGCGGGGGACGCTGTGAAGCAAGGGGAGAAATGGATCCTCTTCTACAACTGGCCTGCTGAGCAGCGACCTGGCCGAAAAAGGGGCCGTTCGGATGGTTTCTTGTTTGAGCCAACCCAAAAAGCAACCGGGGTGGCTTTCAGTTCGGTTCGGGAAGGTTGGAAAGTCAGGGGTATCTGGGCAATTGGTCCCTGGTGTAACATGATTCAATAAAAATGTCATTGAGCATGATTGTTTCCTTCAAATCCAATACAACTGCCAGGCCCGCTGGGAGAGCCCCCCCCTCCCCGGCCTCACCCAACCCACAAGTGACCTGAAGGAACTGGGAGTACGACGGGAACTTCGAGTTCAACGCCTGACGTCTCTCGTGCCGTTTCTCGGAGGGGATCCGATTGGAACCAACCCCCCACCCAGCCTCGCCCCAAATGGGTGGCTCTTGTTTTTTAGGGGTACCCCTTTTTTTGGAGGCGTTTAAGCGAGACCAAAAGGAAACCCACACTTTGGGGGGGACCCCAAAAAAGGATACACCCAAATTCTTAGGGTGTGATCAGCCTAAGGCCTTGCCATTCTGTATTTTTGAAATGTGCGGGTCCTGGGTAACTTGTGTGTTGCCGCCTAGCCGTTCTTTGTTGGGAAATGTTGGTGGGATTGTGAGGTAAGCGTGTTTGAGTCAGCCTTTGTGTTAAGGGCCCTTTGGGTTCTCGTCCTTTGCCGCCTTTGGCGATGAGTTTGGGATCTGAAGGGGCGCATTTGGATGGGGGCCTCAACGCAGCACTGTTCAAAGATGGCAAAAAGGGACATGGGTTGCAAGTCTGTGACGCAAGTAGGCGTTCAGCTTGCCAGGCACTTTGATGCTTATTCGGGCATGTGCATCTATAGTAGTAAATAAATGCAAGGTTCAACCCCTAAACGGTTCCTTCCCCTGGCATTTTCCTGCATCGACGAGGAAAGGGACAATCTCCAAGCATTCGACACGGCAATTGATGCCTGCGTTTGTCCCCATGTGTCTTTCTGAAGGCACCCCTTTGGGGGTTGGTTTCAAGGGAAACCAAAGGAAAACCACAACTCTTGGGGTCCCCCCATTTTGACCCACCCCCCAATGGCTATGGTTTGTTTCCATTCCCACAGTTGTCTTGAAGGGGAGGCACGGGGAAGTGGCTTTGACCTGTGAAGAGAGCCAAAATGATGTACCCATGAGAGAAGTCCAAGAGCGGGAGGGGGCACATTGCTGAAGGCTGCGTGGCGTGGCAAACCGCGCTCCCATGCAGCACGGTCTGCCTGGCGCCCTGGCGTTGCTGAACATCCGCAAAGTGCGGGGAGTGTTTTGACCCTGTTACAAGGGAGCAAAATAGAAATACAGGAGACTAAAAGTGAAGCCTAAGCAGAGTATGGCTCATGTTGGCCTAGCATCCATCATTGAAAGGGATGATTGCAATTGGAGCTGATGGAAGAGGGAACGACGCCTTGGATGATTCTTCTCGTTCCAAGAGTCATCCAATTTTACTGGCTGAGTGCTGGCGTGCGGGCTGGTGAGTTCCCAGTGCCGTAGCAAAAACAGAAAAAGGAGGGCGTGCAGCTTGTCGGCAGGAGGTTTTGTATGGTGAGTGGATTGTCGCTTCAGCTAAATGCAGCGGGCACACTGAGTTTTCCCATGGGTTGGATTTGAGAGAGTGCCTGTGGCAGTTGTTTGCCGCAAGCTTGAAACATACGTTTGTTCACAGAATTGCTGTTTTACGTTTTCCTACTAGCTAGGGTTGACTGAGGGGGAGGTCGGTTTCTCGGGCCTGTGTGTGCCTGGCTGCTGTCCGTGTATAAAGGGCGCTCTTTTGGTCGGCTCTTGTCAAACCTAGCCCCTGTCCCGAGCATTGAGCTTTGTCAGTTCAGCTATGGTCAAAGCTACTTGTGCAGGTTCAGAAGCGTCGTTCCGTTCCCGCATATTCTCTAGTTCAATGAACCATGCCGTCCCAAAAAGATTGACCCAGGAGTTGAGTGGTTGGTTTCAGAGTTTTGGCTTGAGGCGCAACCCTCGCTGGCCTTACCCCCCTCCCCTTTCCAGGAGCCAACGGAGTCACCGGAGCAAGGGCCGGACTCCGCGGGAGCCGCCGGACACACGAGGCGCAGCGTTTCGGCTCGGCGTTTCACGCCGCCATCTCAGTGGCACCCATCCTGTTCTTAGGTGGATTGCCCACTAGAAATGGGTGTTACACGTTTCTCAGAGTCAGTCGCTTAAAATGGTTGGCTTCCTTTTGGAACCCCCCTGCAAAACCCACCAGAAAGGGTCCCTTTGTCGCAACTGGGTCCCAAGGTGACCAAACAAAAACGGTTTCTGCATTTCCTGCGTAGAGGCACGAGTTGTTGACAAAATCCGACAAAGCATGAAGGATATGTCGCAGGCCAGGGGTCCAACTTGATATGCCCAAGACATGCTTCCAAGTAATCGGGCGCGGGCGGCGGGGGGTTGAACAACATTGCCAAGAGCATTGCGAGGAGATGAATGCTGTACGAGCCAAGTGTTGCATGATTGATTCCCTTGTGAATTTGCAAGGGTCCAAACTATGAAGCTTCTGACCAGTCGTTGCCTAAAAGTGCCTTGAGATCCTCCACTTGCCCTCGTTTCTCAGCTCCTTTCTTTTCCTTCTCGTCGCTTTGTTTTTTTTTAGGGGGAGCAACAAAACCGCACCCCTGGGCATTTCTTCCCCAGGCTACGAGAGCCTGGAGCAGCTTCTCGCGCCCTGGGGCCAAAGCAGCCGATCAGCGCGCGGAGCGCGGCCCAAGTCAGAAGCCACGAAGCGGAACAGCCTGGGCAAGGCGCTCTGGTCCCAGGCGCGAGCGAACATGTCACCGGATGTCGCCCCGCAAGTTGCGAGTGAACCTGCCCCAGAAGTGGAGGTTTCAAAAGAAGGTGGGACAATGGGGGACCTGAAGAATTCTGTTTTCCTGCAAGCCCCCTGAAAAGTCACCAAGCCTTAAAAGCAGAGAGAGAGAGAGAGAGAAAATCAGAGATTTGGAGGCATTCTCAAATCTATTCGGGGTGGGTTTCCCTTTGAAACACCCTCAAACGAGGGTGATGTTGAGGATGGCGGATTTTGTTGGACCCAGTGAAGCCTTGTGGTGGGGGTTATTCCGTGCCTTTCTGAGAAGTGGACTTACTCAGATCCTCGCCATCAGGCACATGGATCCGTTTGGCCCTTCGCTTCGATACGCCGAATCTCGTGGATCGGCTTGGCTTAGGTCGCCACAGGCATAGGTCAGGTCCTTGGCGCTTTGAGATATGTGGCTCAGGATGTCGAGCCCTGCGCTTTCTCCCTTTGGTTGGTCCAGGGTCATGGCAAAGGTTCGCCAAAGCGTTGAGGTCCTTTCAACTTCTCGGCTTCAAGGGCAGGTTCCAGATAGAGGCGACTCCCCTGTGTGAAACGCAGCGCATTTCCCAAAGCCTGTGTGTCCCGTTGGTCGGGGAATTCTGCTCGCAGTTTAGTATGCTAAAGGAAGCTTAGATGCTACCATCGAAATCCAGTGCAGATTGCTCCCGGCCGGCGTTTGACTCCGCGGATCTGAGATCGCAAGCCTATGTTTACGATGTTCCCCTTGCTCTTCACTTGGCGGGATAGCTGTTTTGTAAGCATTTGTTCTTGCCCGCTCCAACCCGAGCTTGTGAAGGTGGCAAATACGGACATGAAGGTTCTGACCAAGCCTTCTACCGCGCCGCCAGCGCCCAGAGCAAAGCAACAGGCGAAGGCGGGGCAAGAGCCATTGGCCACAAGCTGTATGACTGAGCACCATTGAGCCGCCCAGGATGTTGAGATCTCAAAATCGGGCACCCCCACGCGGGTCGGTCCATCAAATAGGTGTGTCTCGACATGCGGGCGCTCAAACAGGCGTGGGAAGTGCGTTGTGTTGCAACGCGCGAATCTGCTCGTTTTCCAACTCGTGCCGCAGGAGGCTGAGCGTTTCTCAATGCGGACCTTCATGTATCCACAATCTCCAGGATGGTTTCCACGGGTTTCCATAGTTCCATAGTTTCTAGGGCCTCCCACGGCTGCCATGGCTTCCACGGTTTCCAGAGTTGCCACAGTTGCCAACTCGCTCGCCCACGCGTTTTCAACTATCTAAGTTTAAAATGTCTTGACTGCTGCTAAGGTGTGCTTATCTGGTGCCGTGGGTGCTATCCAAGACTTCCCGATGAGGTGCTATTTAACCAACTGACAAAGTGCGTTCTGCATCTACATCGGATGCTGGTTGGGAAATGAATTTTGTTCATGGCCAACCCTTCAAGTCCTCACTGCTTGAACCTTTGCCAAGGCTGATGTGCACTATTTCCTCCTGGTAGCCTCTAGGAAGGATGGCGAAAACGCTTTGAGCCAAGGGCACGTTGTGCATTTTCAGGCCACTGGGCGGGGCAAGTGCAGGTAGAGAAGAAGAACTGGAGGGAGGCGCAGCAAGAGAAGGCGAAAGAGGACGCGGAGGAGGAGGAGGAAGCTCAGCGTGCGTGCCTGTGACTGTGCGACAGTTCTCTCCCCCACTAAACAGGCGCTTGCGCATCTTTCATGAGAAGGGCTGTGCAGGAAGTCCGGGGGGGGGGGGGAGCTGGAGCAAAATATTTCCAGTTGAATGTCATTGCCAACATTGACTGGCTAAGAGGGTGCCCTCGACTAGCCGCATGGTAAGTGACCAGCTAAACGCATGCAGGGGCAGATCCGTCGCCAAATCTCCCTTGCCTTCATGCCGGGGTGGTGCTGTTTTCGTTGCGTCAAATAGGCGACTTCAACAAGGGCTCCCTTAAAAAAGACTCGCTCAGCTACCTCTACCCTTCACCTGCCCCCATGCACAAATTCCAGAAGCCACCCTGAGGCTGCCAGCCAACGCAAATCCAACGGCAGAGCACTTCTAAACCTACGTTGGGCTTCGAAAACCTGCAATTGTGTAGCACCTTTGCAAAAATCACTGTGTTTTGCCCAGGGTACGATGAAAGCCTGGTTTTTTGGAACAAGTGGGGTTGCAGTTTGAATTCCATTGCTTGCGCCCGAATAGGCACCTGGTAATTCCCCCACAGTAGGGGCATGTTGATTTCCAGCCCAATCTGAAATTCAATTTATTTGCTGCCGCCTCTGAATTCCTAAAGCCTGGTGGTCTCACATGGAAAAGGGCTCCAATCAGCCCCAGCAGGCGTTGATGTTGTTGGATGGATTTTGCAACTTGGTTATTTCGAGGTTCCTGCAGCAAACACGTGGAAAACTTGTGGAAACGCGTATTTCACCCGTAGTAGGTCCAACAAAAACATTGTGTTTCAGTAAAACATAGTGTCTAGCAGCCCGTAGACAAACCGTGCAAAACCCGTGGTAAACCGTGGAATTTCTAGTCTATGGGTTTTTCAGGGTGCGCCATCTTGCCCACGAGGTTGGTTTTGCCCCGGTAATGGGTCCGCTGCTTTGAACCGAACCTGGTCGGGCAAAACTGACTTGGTCGAGGGGAGTTTTGAGGAAGATTTTGTTGGCGGCTACATTCCAGCAGGGGAAATTGACGAGAACACTCTGTGAACTGCAAACGGGCGAGGGGCCTGTTATAGCAGGATCATGGTTTGAAGAACATGTTGAAATGCTCGAAATTGGAAACATCGTGTTTCCCCAAGAAACAGTGTTTTTGGGGTATGACATGTTCATCAGTTTTTGAAGCCCCTACCCAATTCCACTGCCCTTTTCATGACTCGCTCCAAACTAACCAGGAACTCGGACCTACACGAGTCCGACATCAAGCCAAAACCCACATGCCACACCGTGTCAACACCCCCGGTACCGCAGCTCGACCTAATTCAAATGCAAACCCAGCGAGCCAACCCAAAAGCACACGGTAAGTTGATGTTCAATCTCAGCAAGTAACCCAAAACCAACTTCAAAGCTAATGTTGACCCCGTATTAGTATGTACCCCCCCCCCCCCCCTCGAAGGTCGGGAAGGTTTTGGGGTGCAAAATTTTGGAAGGTTTTTTGCCACCCCCCCTAAATAATCTGGTGTTGAGTTTCCATTTGATTTAGTATTGCTGGAGCTTCCTTTTGAGATCTGGAATCGGGTTTCCCTTTGATTTAGTATTGCTGGAGCTTCCTTTTGAGATCTGGAATTGAGTTTCCCTTTGATTTAGTATTGCTGGGCTTCCTTTTGAGATCTGGAAATGAGTTTCCATTGGATTTAGTATTGCTGGAGCTTCCTTTTGCGATCTGGAATTGAGCTTCCATTTGATTTAGAGTTTCCATTTGATTTAGTATTGAGAAGGCCTGGTTGTCTTTTTTTGGGGGGTGGGGCCGATGGACCGCACTAATTAGGTGGGGTTTATTTTTTGGGGGTGTAAGGGGCTAATGTGATTTGAAACCTTC